ATATTATACAACCTAGACTCTATATAATTATCACATAAAACAGATCCGACAATTTGACTAAAATATTATACAATAAATAAATTATAAAATATTTATAAATTTCTTACCACAGAAAAAAGTATGAATTTTATTATAACAATATTTGTAATTATATATAAAGTAAATATTATCAACAATTTTTTGTTTATATTACTTTTATAAGGATGTGTTAATAAAATAAAAGTTTTTTGTTTTTTGTGTGGTATGTACAAGTATAATACAATATTTATTTTAAAAATGATAAATTGCAATTATATTGTAATTGATAATTATAGGTGCCGCTATTATAAGCATTTTTGTTATCAATTCTGAGAAATATTACCTGTGTTATCTATTATCATCAAATTGGATAAATATTTATTTTAATTAATTGATTTTTATTAATAAGTAAATAATTTATAGGAAATTAAATATTAATTACTAGTCTATATAAGCCGTGAAAATAATTATTATTTTAGCTTATTTATAAATTATTACAGTTTTAATAATGAGTTTATCAGTACCCGGCTCACCTACCCAATCAACATTTACCATGAATTCACTAAATGAGGTATGTACAATAAGTTAATTATGTTTATTATATAATAATTTTAAATTTTAAATTTTATTAATAGGAACGTAATGGTATGCACTATTTAATATTTTAAAAAGTTACTAGTATAGTAATAGATTTTTAAATAGGTAAATTGATTCATGATTTTGACTCTGGGTCAGTTTCATTTACTGATATTAATAATAGTAACGTATTAAGAAGTACACATTATAATCATGCAAATATTAAAACACGCAATGCGAAATTTTTATCCATATTATACGCCATGGTTATTATACTAATCGCGGTCTTTATTTGCATAGTTGACCTGTTTGATAAACACCCTAATAGAACTAGTATATTTATGATAACACTAACAGTAGTAGGTTGCATATGGCTAGTGTTTTTGCATCAAGATATAATCCGGTACAAACGTTGGGCAATCAAGTATATCACCAAGCTTAAAAATGAACAAAAACTTATGAATCACTACCGAAAACGTCGCGATCGGGCTAACAGTATATCAACAGTAGTTGTGTTCAATAAACTGCAAAAGTCTATATCCGAAGAAGAAAATGCAACTGGCAAATTTAGCAATGGATCAGGGTACGATTTTATCAAGGGCAAAGAATCGGGAAATATTTATTTGCGATGTGGAATCACAGGTATAAATTAATTTAGCATTGCAGTATTAATTTAGTATTAACATAGTTTACATTTTAAACTTTATAAGCTAATAGTATAGCTTACTAGGTTAATTAATTATTTTATAAACAGTAATTTGTTCTGTTTGAATTATTTATAATTAATTTTAAAACAAATAATTATATTAGTGGGTTATAAGACAAGGCTTTAAAAATATTTTTACAAAAAACTATTGTTAGTTCCAAATGAATCAAACTTCTTGAATTAATAAACTGTTCATGTTTAAATAAGAATTTTTAAAAATTATCAAATATTCTGGAAAATTTGAGATGTGAGATTACAGGTATTAATATAATTTTATTATTAATATGAATAATAGTATTGTCAATAGTTGTAAAGCATGCAAATTAAACTATTCTATAAACAGTAATTTTTAATTTATATTTTATTTGAGATTAATTTAAAACGTGTAACTAAAAAGGTGGTTTAAATATCATTTCAGATTTATATTTAAAATTAAAAATTTTAATAAAATTTTCACTATAAGCTATCTATAAGATAACAAGGAGTCAAACTGTAAAAGTTTAATTTATAATTTTTAAAAATTAATTTCCACTACTAAACAACAACATAAGGTGTATCATACATTAATTAAACAAAATAATAATCTAATATAACCTTTTCTACCTTGTTCAAACTAGTATTTTGTTTCGGGAGCATCGTGCACATGGGCATCCAGGTGTTCAGTCAGATATACTTTCACATCAGTGGTTACCACGAGTGCGGGGATACCCTACGAACCATAAGTATGTCCGTACGGATAGTATTTTCATTTTATCAACTGTTCATTGCTTTCAAGTATTCAAACGTAAGCCCAACAAAATTATTAATTAACATATTGATCAGGATAATAATTAATATGTTATTGACAGATCATCATAAACAGATACCCAATCCTGAGCAGATTTGCCTTGATGCATTTGTTGGCCACCACACTGTCCTCGTGGTTCAGGACTATTATCAGTGAGGCTATGGATGAGTACGTGGATAATATACATAATGATAATATTAATAATCTCACCCGCGACCTTATTTTTCCGGACTACATGGAGCATGAAATATATTGCCTGGATAAAGCGGTTATTAGCGCTAAATCAATGTCTATATTACCCTACTTATATCCGTTTACGATCGAGTTTAATATAATTATGGCGTCCATTTGGTTCATGTGCTGGATCAACATAGGTTGGTATTTACTTTAAAATAAAAGTATAAATACCAGTAACATCCATTCCGGTTTTATAAAAGTAGAAGTAACTATTTATCATAACAATTACACTGATATATCTGTGGTATTTATTCAAAATCAGGTTTATATATAGGATATGTATTTTAATATTTTTTATTGCTTTAAATCATACTTTACTCGATTCATATCCTATATATAAACCTGATTTTGAATAAATACCACAGATATACTGTATTTACAGTTCATTATAAACATAAGATTAACATAATTTAAGCTACCCCGTTTTATTCATTCAACTAAAAATTTTTATTTTAATTATAAAATTACGATATTTTTTTCTAAAATTATGAATGATTTCACAGAACAACATTTTACCTAGTACGTTTTAGAGATATATTTAAAATATATGATTTCATTAAAAAATTTATCAGGCAAATCGACAACTAACAAATGCCAGCATACCACAAACAAGTCGGTCAGTCAAACACATATATCCAACATTGAACAACAGGCCCAAACTGACCCGGACACATGGAGCACCATGTCAATCGGCACCCAATGTCACGCCAGTAATCGGGGTCTATTTTGCGGGCTAACAACCCTATTGGCCACTGCCGTCTCAATCATCATATTTTTCGCCACTCAGTCCTTCGACTACTTCGAGATCAGCCTATACTCGGCACAGATATCCATAACCACTCTCATAGGGTGTGCCATAATACCCATTGCCTACTGTAAAACACGGCGCCTGGATGTCGTATGTCCCGAGCATTTTGACAGCAATAAGATGCTTATGGACGACCTACTGGTGTTAATACCGGTACCCTTTTTCATGCTACACTACACATGCTTAATAATGGCTGAAGTGGATGATGGATCACCAGTTAGTATCATACTTATCGTGGTATACGTGCTAACAATAATTCAGGTGCTCATGCAATCGCCGTTCATAGTGGACGGCCTACGTAGGTGTTCCAACTCACCCGGGCTATTGCATTTCAAACCGGGTCGGGAGTTGATTATGTTTGCGCTGATACTGAACATAACGCTATGGATATTGAATACGTTTGAACTGAAGTATATGGACAGGTATCAGGGAATGGAGGACTATTTTGGTAAACTTACCTGGATGATTATATCCAACGCCAATTTGCCCCTGATGCTATTTTATCGGTTTCACTCGTCCGTGTGTTTGAGCGATATGTGGAAACACGGCTACGAAAGCGATGCATGTGTTTAACGGAAGTTATAATTAGTATAAGTTAGTGGTCACAGGTGAATGTAGTAAGCCAAATTGCTCTTAAATTGATAGATCATTTAAATCCAGTTCAGTATTGTTATACTTTGCAAAAGTAGTTTCATTAATTATTGACTCTTTCAAAATGCATAAAGTAAATGCAGCATGGGTGTCCTCATTATAAATAGGCTCATACTTGATATTAGTAGTGGTCTCGTATGAAAAGTATGAATCGCTTATTTCATAGCATTGAATAACCAAAAAAAATTAAACATATTATACGGCTTACCATTTACTGCCAACTTTGTAATACTGGCAATTCATCATTAAATACAGGAATTATAAAGCCTATAATATTACTTATTTTAAGTTTTATATTCATAAATATATTGATAATTAAAGGGATTAAGTAATTCAAAAACAACATATTTAATATTCTTTTGTTATAAATATGAAATAAAATTTAGTATTATGTTATAGACTTATCTCAATGCAGCAAAAGGTATAAACTATTGCATATATCTAAATTTAGTGCAATATATATATATATTTATATATATATATGAGAAGCAATAATATGAAAGAAACATTTGCTTGAATACGTGCCATTGAAAGCAACTCATGATTACTCGCATATAACGTGCACCATATCACAAGTATTATCACTAATAAATAGATTAGTATTTATTACAGGGGTTAATATTCATATGAATATAATATATACATTATATCTGACTAATCATGAGTTAATATGACTATCATGACTAATCTGATAACTCATCTGATAAATGATGTTTATGCAATCAATTCATATAACTTATTGCAATAAATGCAGTAAAATATTATTAGTATAGAGGTGTTGTGTTTTGTCCAAAACAACATAAAATATAATTAATATCCCCCGGAAACTGTTATAATTAATGAAAGTTAAAAACAATTGAAACACATAAATAAGTTTATTTGTACTAATAAAATAAAACATATAAATAGTCTTTATATTTAATTTACAATTTTATATCAAAAAGGTTTAAAAGTATTTTAAAATTAAAAACAGAGTTAGTAAACAATAGCTTAAGAAATATAATATCATATTAACTTGCTAATCCAAAAACACAATTATAAAAGTAATTTTTAAAATTAAAAACTCAAATAATATTACATATTAAAACTTAGTACATGTAACATGTTACACAGTTTTATAATATATACTATTAAGCAAGCTAATAATTACGGATCATTGTCCACATAATTGTCCCTGAACGCAAACAATTTGGTCGAATTCCTGGGTGTAATAGTTTTCGGGGTTTTCCTACTTTTGTTATCCGGGTTCTTACCGATGGCTATAATAACATGTATGGTCTGCCTCTCAGTCGTCACATTGAGGGCGGCGTACGTCTCGTCGGAATGAATGCCTCCCATCGCCACCGCTGAATACCCCCGACCGGCCGCCTCGAGTGCCAGTAGGGTATAGGCCGAACCGGCGTCAAACAGCCTGTCCGGGAGGGGTAGCTTAAAGCCTTTGTACAGCTCATAGTTAGCCAGCACCTGGATGGCCAGGGCTGACGATTTATTAGCCCATATCTGGTTCTCGTTGTTCAATAGGGCTGCAAATTGGTTGAATCGGGGCGTATCACGAAGTGCGTACACATAACGCCAGGGCTGGGTGTTTACCCATGAGGGTGCCCATCGGGTGGCCTCGAAAAGGGACAGTAGGTCTGACTCGGGTATGGGTTCGCCGGTGAACTCCCTCTGAGATGACCGGTCGGCTATAAGTGGGTGTATCACGTGTTCCGGTTTGCGGGCCTATGTTTGCAAATTTAACGTGATAAGGTGATTTAATTATTTTTTATATTTATTAAATTATAAAATTAAATAATATAAAATAATAAAATTTGTTAAGTAATTTATATACCTTTTCAATGTCAGTGTCATATTTGTCGTCCTCGAGTGAGAATGTACTTGTTAATAAAATACTAGCAAATATTATTATTACAAACATAATAAACAATAATTTATAATTGTTTTCAATTTACAAGTTTAAAATTTCTTATTAAACTAATATTATTATTTGTAAAGTTATCCAGTACATTCTATTTATATAATTGTTTTTGTGGGAAATTTACTAGGTCAAACATTTGTTTTTAAAGATTATGAGCAGGACCTTGTCAAACGGTTAAAGTAATGTGTAGTTTTAATTACATAATCGATGCATGCTTATTAATTATAAATTATAGACTTTAAATTGTCTTTATTTATAAATTATGAAAATGTTAAATATTAATACTAACGGAATTTATTTTTTAATTTTGTTCATGTTATAGTTATATTTAATTTTTACATATTGTTTTTATTAACTATAAATAATAATTTAATTAGTATATTTGCACTTTTCATACTATCTGCACTAAATGTGTCTGTTTATATATAATATCATTATATTATACGGGCACATGTGTATTTTGACATGTGGCACAGAATTTATTTTTATAATGCAATAGATAAAATAATTATTAAATTACGAAATAAACATATGACTTGTTGAATTAGGCTATCATTTTGCCTTAAAATGTATTTTTGATTAATTTTATTATTATTAATTTAGATAATTATGAAAAAGGTATTCAAGATTTTAATTATGATTTACATTAAATTCTTTAAATTAAATATAATAACAAATAAATGCAGAGAATCATTTTACTAAACAATTTTTCATATAAATTTTTAATTTATAATTATTTTGATAATGTTAAAATTATATATATTATTACATGTAATTTCGGTTTATAGATATTAAAAATTAAATATAAATAAATAATTATTTAATTAATTAATATAGTCAGTGCCTGCAATAATGATTAATTTGTATGCAGCTAGTATGTTAAATTAATTTATAGTATTTAATAAAATATTGTTATTTTATTAAATTAAAGTAATACATAATTTAAGCCATTTCAAGAGTACTACAAAAGTTAATAAATTTTTTTATTAAATATTTTTTATTGTTTTTAGTTATGTAACATTGACATGTAAACAGTAAGCTTGTATAACTGTACTAGCTTTTTTTACTTAACATTGTTATACCTTTCACGGATACTTACCTAGATTATACACTAAGATACGCTAACAATTGAGTGATTCTGTTGCCTTGCTGATAATCACCGGCTAAACTTCAAACACGCAATATTTACCAATGAATTACTAGTGATTTAGGCATTCATTTTATATTATATAATAAAAACAACAAGGATTGTTTTATAACAGTTAACATTACTTTATTAATAAATTAATTTTTAAAATAATAGATTTTAATTTTTATAAAGTGTATTTAATAAGCAAATATTATGTACAATTATATAATAATTTTTTATCTATGTGTAAATTTAATTTCACCTGGTTCAACACTATTTACTGGTATAGTAATCAATGACAAATTACAACTGACATGCGACCCTTATCTCATTGACGGTGAATCAGTTGAATTAATAATGATTGTTAAAGACACCTTGGTGCTGTATTATGCCCACCTACCTAATTTAAATAGTAAGCATATTCAGTATACTTTTATTTCCTGATATGTCTATTTTTAATATACAATATATACAGGGTATAGTAGAAAAAACACTAAATTTTTATAAAAATTTCTAAAATGTTAATATTTTTAAAAATAAATTAGTATGATGTTGAAATTGTACCATTATAATACACAATTTGTTACAAAATATTATAGTTTTTATACTTATTGGTTATTTAGTTCTTGCTCATTTTTATTTTCATGTATCCTAAACAATAAAATTTAAAATTTAATAAATGTATATTTATAATGACAATAAATAATTAATTTCTTTTTAAAAATAATATTCCCTAATATAGAGCCTGAGACAATGGTATACCCTGGTACCAAAAGCATTATTGTCAATTGGCTTGGCGAGATAACTATAACACCATATGAGCAGGATAATCACCAGGATTGGTGCACCATGGTCGGTTTCTATACGTGTCGATTTGACAAACGTAGGTCTGGGATCACTTCAAACACCACTCAAACATTTAACATGGAGTTTAAAAAGGAATGTGCCGAGTGGAATGCCTACAAAAATGTTTCACACCATGCAATGTCTAATAAAGTTTTCATCTTGATACTTTTATCCATTAAGTTATTTTTATATCTTAATTAATTGTATTAGATTGTACACCTTAATAATTTTATAAACTAGGTATGTTCAGACTGTAAAACATAAAAGAATGGTGAAAAGGTCCAGTTATTACTACCAGTATCAATGTAGTATTCTTAATAATCTGTATGCTAAATGTTGTTTATGCTGTATGCTAGTGTAGTAATTAAATTAATTAAAAAATATTTAAATGAATTATTTTGCAATAGTAAATAAATTAAACAAGTCATTCAAGTTTGTAATTATGTATTAAAAATTTTTTATTTAAATAAAAAATAATATATCTGTGGTATTAAACAAACAGGATTGGTGTACAATGACAGGGCTATATTCATATCGCATTGAAAAACTTGCTTATGGTGTTAATTTCACATCTAGTCAATCATCCAGCAAGAATTACCTTAAGGAATGTACAGACTGGCAAAACTATAAAAGTGGGACCACTAGCTCAATATATGTTACCAGTGTTAACAGTTTCATCTTGGTAAACTGCATGATTATTGTTGTTTATTTTATTTAACAACGATTGAATTTTATTGTGTAGTAATTGATGAAATTTAGATCATTATGCATTTAATTAATAATTGCTAAAAGGTTGAAAAATCATAAATAAAATTAAATATTAAAATAAATTTTGTTAACCAAATTTTCGGAATTTAATTAATAAATTTTGACTTTAGAATTGCTTATTAATTTATTTTTAAAATTTCATTTAAAAATATAATTTTATATAATATTATTGGTTTTCATAACATTTCTATCGCAGTGTTGTATCAATCGGTTGACAGCAATGTCCGCATCACTCGAGTCACGCATTTGTTCGCAAATATTCACAAATATATGCTGTTTTTGGATTCCGTATGTATTCTGTTATTACATGCGATAATAATATATCAATATTAACTCAATTGCTAATAATATTTTGTATAGCATACCTGTCCAAATGTATAGCAGTTATCATTGAACGTGTCGACCAGTTTTCGATAGCAATCTCTGTTATTGAGCTCTAGTTTGCCATTCAATGCGATATTGGCGTCAATTGCCGGCAATTCATTCACGTATTCCTCGATCTGTTTGTCCATTAATTTTCGGCCATTCAATAGACTATTCAATTCATCAACGTATCTAACATTCAAAATAAATTTAAAAGTTAATCAATAATTTCAAATAAATATAATTTATACTAACTTTTGTTTAAGATTAATATCATTAGTGTTTCTTATTTTATTTTGCAATAAATAAATGGGTGCATCAGGTATGGGCATTGAGCTTGCTACTTGATTGTCATTGTTAACTGTAGGTGGCACTACTTTATCACCTATAAAATTATTTTAAAAATATTATTTAAAAATTAATGTTATATATTTTATAATTAAATCAAAACTAACCCAAATAAATTGATACATGCTCCTTGGCAATAGTCAGGTCGCCATATTGCTGAGCATGCTGATTTTCAATATCACCTCTACTCTTAAGATACTCATATTGATCATTTAATACTTCCTTGTTCAAATCATGACTATCGGTGTCATTCAACCACATAATCGCAAATGCGACAGCTAATATTAAAAATTAAAATTTTTAAAAATATTACAGCATATTAAATTAAAACCAAGATCATCTATATTTACATAGACACGTGTTGTATTTAGATGGCCCGCAATTGCTGAACCACCCTAACTCATCAGGCCGAGTTCCCGCTAAGGCATAAGCATTAATGTCAGCCGGTAAGTCTTTGTAAAACATTGAGCCTATTCGAAAAATTAATCATTATTAAGATTATATTTCATAGTAACTTATATATAGATACGATTAAATTATATACCTGCGTAACATGCAGCCAGATAAAACACAAGTTCCTTATACTTATTATCCTTATGCATAGCCTTGAGATTATCATTCAAGTCCTTAGCGTGGAGTACACTACTGGGAAACGCCACGGTCTCTACGCAGCAATATTAACATATTTTTAATAATTTTATAATATTTTATAAATAAAATAGCAATTTGCTTACCATGACCACCATGGTCATCAAGGTATACAAATATACGGTCATTGGGTCCGCTTTTAACTACTTTTTTGCCCTTTTTCTCCAACTCCTCGTCCCCTCGAAGTAGAGCCAAAAAGTTCTGCAAATTATATAACAATTAGTTTTTAGTTATGTTTTAATTGATTATATGATTATAACCTCTGGCGTGACGTCAGCCTTAGTGTAGTGTTTTGGCACTTGATATGGCGTTTTGTAGACATCGGTGCCGTTGATTTTGTTGACCACAATTCCAGGGGTTGGGTTTGATTTATGGTCAGCCAGGTCGTCGTAGTGCATGACTATTATGTTTTCGTCGGGTATGCCGTGCGTACGGATCACTTGATAAGCGTGGTATACATCAGCCTAATATATTCTATTTATATAATTGTTTTTGTGGGAAATTTACTAGGTCAAACATTTGTTTTTAAAGATTATGAGCAGGACCTTGTCAAACGGTTAAAGTAATGTGTAGTTTTA